TTTTCCCCGTGATAGTAGACGGAAATTCAGGGCCACTTTTTGGAATTGTTACCGGATTGTGTTTTTCTAATTTTCAACCTCACCCGCTAGCGTCATTTGGTAAGCGTCGATCGTATGCTGGTAGTGATCGCGTATTATGACACTGACTGAGCATGGATGTGTAGTATAATTTTCATTAGCACACTAGTAATTAACACAACTACGAGTTTTGACGGTATTCAGTGCGTGCCTTTCTCTGTGCGTTGGCGCTTGGTGGTGCACTTTCACCCCTGGAGAAGTCGAAAAGCCGTAAACAGCGATTTGTTTTTAATTTCATAAGAAGATGATTTTTTTTCTCACAAATGTCCATTTTGGGACGACAAAAATCCTAAACATCTTATCGCATTTTATGAGAATTACGTTACCTTAGTAACATTCCCTTCCTTCTCCGGAACTCAGATGGGTTCGCCTTGTATATGAAAATTGATTTTGTTTGTCTCACACGACCCTGTCATGTATGCGAATGTGTACGTGTCAGATGGAAATAATTCGCATAGATGAAAAATGACTTCAGCATTGAATGTGTTAGCGTTTTTTATTATTCATACGTATGGATGTTAATTGTAATATGAAAAATATTAACGTCGACTCACGGATGTGAACTATTGTTATATTTTTTTTATTTCGTGTACTCTTCGTTTTAATATAGCAGCCTACTTTACATATCTTTATTTTCAGAACGATTCCTGAATACTGATGGTAACGCCATATCTAAACCAGATAGTTTCATGCCATTTTCAGCTGGACGCCGAGCATGTATGGGCGAGACACTGGCTAAGAATGAGCTATTCCTTATTTTTACAAGCTTGTTTCAACAGTACACATTCAAGACACCAACTGGCGGCAAAACACCTTGCTTGGAAGCACACTGCATGACTCAGTTCACCCGTTGTTGTCAGTATGAAGTCAAGGCCGTTGCAAGAAGAAATTAAGTGATTGGTACCTGCGTTATTTCGAAAACAATGTTGATTTCCGTGTCCATTGATCTGTATTAGTGGATGAATAATATGGACTTATTTAACGCACAGTTACGAGAATATTTAATTCGTTAATCCAATGTCCCATATAAAAACATGAGGTATATATATATTAGTCGATACTAAATATTCAGCCTGTTCTTGGAAATGTAATAGTCATGTTTTATGAACTCCCGACCAGGCAAATATAAGCTGATTGCCACAACTGATTGCGACAAAGCGTTAGTTTGGGTTCCTATTGTGTAAATCGTGCATATTAATTGCGTTACAATGAGAGTAATATTGTAATTATATATCCTACCGAACATGTGAGCAGCGAAACAACATACTGTAAATAAATTACGTCGCGTCTTATGTAGATATTCACCTTTCTATAACAATAAAGTAAATATCAACTTTATCATCAGATAATTTCACACATTTTTATAGCTATATTCCAATGAATTAATTATATTATTCAGTAAACATGAGTAGTTTGAAGTTATGTCTTCTTTCACCAAACTATTAAATTGAGGTTTCTCTGATTAAACGTAACTGAAAGAGTAATAACATATGTTGCAATAGTGATTATTTTATTAATGTACACGTCTTCTAATACTATAAGTACGTCTATAATGTATTACCGTTTCGGCCAATAGTTATATTAAAATGTGGTCAAGTAAACTAAGTACATGATAGTGGTCTAATAGTTATATTAAAATGTGGTCAAGTAAACTACGTACATGATAGTGGTCTAATAGTTATATTAAAATGTCGTCAAGTAAAGTACGTACATGATAGTGGTCCAATAGTTTTATTAAAATGTCGTCAAGTAAAGTACGTACATGATAGTGGTCCAATAGTTATATTAAAATGTGGTCAAGTAAAGTACTATATCAGGTGAATTAACCCTAAAGAGACTTTGTGCTCCAGAGTAAATTAGTTTAATATATTTAATAAAGGCTTCTCCAAAACCGAAAGCATATAGTTTTTTGAATAAAAAGTCGTGATGCACTCGGTCAAACTGTTTCTGCTGATCTAGAGCGACTATAGCAAGTGGTACACATTTAATGCCAGAATATGATATAATATCCCAGACTAGACTTGTATTATCGAAGATGCGTCTTTCCGGAATACAATAAGATTGGTCAATATAAATTATTTCACAGAGTGCATGACGAAGCCGTAGAAAAATTGCTTTTGTAAAGATTTTGTAATCTGTGCAAAGGAGGCTCATCGGCCTACAGTTACACGATAAATTATTTCCACTTCTGGGGAGCTAAGAAACAACTGCTCTCCGACAAGACAGAGGTGACACACTATCTTGAAGAGAAGCACTGAAAACATTGCAATGTCTAAAATTGTTCGTAAAACTCACCCGGTAATCCAACGATGCCGGGGGTTTTGCCACGTGACAGGAGTTTGACAGCCCTTAAAAGTTCATTAAAGATAAGACCTGAATCGTATTTTTTTTTCATCGTCAGACAACTTAGGAAGATCTTTTACTGGAGTATTCTGACAGTCCAGTGAAACGGGATCAGGTGAAAATAGTTCTCTGTAAAATTCACACACATGGCGACACCTAGAACTCGGCGAATCAGCTATTATGCCGTCGGGCTGTTGTAACTGAGATGACCTTTCTGCGACCTTTTTGTTTTTCTAGTACGATGTTGGTGCATCATTTTCATTCAATAGACGATGCCGTGCTCGCATGTCTGCGCCTCTCGCTTCAGTTTTAACAAGGTATTTGAGCAAGTCGCGTTTTTTGGATAGCTGTTTTTCAACTTCGGGGTTGCCATTGGCAACCACTTCTAGCTGTTCTATTGTTTTACAGATATCACGTTTAATGGTGTGGTAAATTTGACTGAGTTTTGCTGTTGTTGTATCTTGTATTTTCAGACATTTGAATAGATTAAAGCGTGAATTTTATTGCTGCCATGACAACCCATATTCATTAATTATACAGCAATATTCATTGTCTCCACGAAGGCTAATATTAAAGAACCACACTGCATTGCGGTTTGCTATATTATGTATGTATGTGTGGATAGAGTTAGTGTAACGGGTTGATGATCTGAAAAATGAAAACGTTGAATAGTGGACTGCTTAATACATGATGCACAAGACTTTGGTAAAAAGAAGGTATCAAGCCATGACTCCAAGTAAAGTGTTTATTATCAGCATTGACACGACGCCATGAGTCGACGAGTTTAAAGCGTGTTACGATATGAGAGAAGAACTTAGAAGATATATATGGTGGATCTGTGCTATTTTGTCTATCCATACTTGGATTGATAGTGTAATTAAAATCACGGCCCACAATACGGGTATCACTGTTTATGTCATTTAAAAGAGATTTCAGTTTTTTAAAACATTGCAATCTTTTGTAATCCGTATGCAGGTGCATACATATTAACCAGATGTAAGGGGTAATTGTCCAGCTCTTTATGTACATGTAGCAAATAACCTTCTACAACATTGTTAACGGGAAAAATTATGATCTTGGATCCCGGTATCGTCATAATGACAAAGAATGGGTGCTACCATGGGGAATAGAAGCACGGACCTCGCCATACTACTTGCCACGCAGCTTCATCGCAAACAGTTGTGTGTGTCTCTTGCAAAAAATGAACATGACTTGAATGATCAGGTTTACGAAAATTAAATACCTGGTGTCGTTTATAGGCGTCACGTCCACCTCTGATATTCCATGTAGTGGTCTTAATATGCGCCATTATGAGTGTATGAAAAAAAACAAGAGAACCAAACACCACCCATTGTAACATTGTGTTTACATTTTAATCAGTGGACTGCTGATAAGTACCAGATTGCGAGGCAATACCTCTCCGTTTATATATGATCAATTCCTCTTTCGAACCAGCATGTTCATTGATTACATCATATGAATTATTCTCATTTAGTTTAGTTGTTTGCTTGACGTGATTCCAAATAAGAGATGTCACGCGTTATAGACGTACTTTTTCCGTGGCAGTATTGTCTGAGTTCTTACGAAACTTATTCTATTATTTTATTTCTTTATTCCGCACTATATGGCCACCGGCCTAAAGTACTGTTACATTTCAAAACTTAAATTACACACAGTCGCTTTAAAATTACAAGATACATATACTTCAAATCATACTTCCATTTCAGTTTCTCTGTAATGAAAACTCTTAAACAAATATTTACCCAAACTTAGTAAAACATACGAGTTAG